ATATCTTTATCATAACATAAAACATCATTTTTGAAGCATTGAAAAACTGAACAAAATTAGACTCTGATGTGCTGAATATGTTTATACTTCATACACATAAAATATCTTTGTCAAGAAAATTACCAATGAAATATTTTTTTTTTTTTTTAAGAAAGATGTTAAATTTACAATAACATTTACAGAATGTCTTTGTCATGTTGTCACTCTAATGTTCATTTTAAATTACTTATTTCCTGAGTAATATTTGTTATATATGCTTCTTCTTTGTTGTAAATTAACCTAAGAAAAACCCCTTAACCACCAGTTTCCTTAAATATGCAAAAGTATAATTTTGAAAAATTTGAATTATTATTTTGTATTTTGAATTTAACTGAAATAAGTATATGGCTTGTGTACTCAAGATCGAGTAATAAATTATGTGGTAAGTTCCAAAACATTTTTGAAGGCTTCAATTTCTAATTCTTGATTTTGAAAATGGCTTTTGTATTGTAAAAAAAGTTCTTGTATATCTATATATATTCGTGTAATATTAAAAATTTTAAAAAAATACTACAAAATTTTTTGAAAGAGAATTAATATGAAAAGCTAGTATTGTTTTCATAAAAGTTTGAGGGGGCGGGCAGAATACAAAATGATCCAAACTGTTGATAATTACACTTACTCTGCAAATATGAAGAACACTAAAACACGTAATAGAAAATCTGCTATTGATAGAGGACTGTGAAACATTTTTATTTATACTTTAGCATCACCTAGAATTTGTCAGAAATATAATGATGTCATCAGAATCTGGACCTTATTAGTGATATAAGATCTTCATAGCTGCATTTATTATATAGAAAGAGGTTTGTACTTTTCCTTATTAAAAATAACTATAAAGATACTAACAGAATTTTAAAGTAATTTTTATCATAATTTATTCTGTAAAAAATTTTATTTTAATTGTGAGAATAACAAATTAAATAAGGTATGTGCATTCTGATATGAAAATTATATTTGGTATGTAAAGTTCAAATATATGACTTCTTTCTAAAATAATATGAATTGTGACTGTATCCAGTTTTAATTATTAGGTTCTACGTTTCATTTTTCATTTTACTAATATTGCCAGTGCATTTGTTACTAACTTAAGTACTCTGTGCACAAATCTCTTTACTTCCCAACATCTTCATTAATTTCAAATAAAAGTTGCCTATTGGCATCATTTTGACATCATCTAAAAGCATTTTGCATTTATTGTTTAGCATTCTTTTCTTTCTTGCGTGTTTTTCTGCTTTATTTTGAATTTTTAATGAGAGCTTCTAATCTAAATGCATGCTATTGAGCTATCTCTAACTGCATTTAAAAAAAGTATTCACACAATGTAATAAATATTTCTTTTAACAATTCTTTTTATATTTTAAAGTTTATTGTGGTGAGACAAGAATATTACTTTTGTTGGTTGAACTTTAATATATTACCTTATTTTATTTTACGATACTTTTTTTTTTTTTTTTTTGTCATGTATTTTAAAAGCTGCTACCCATATCTCGTGAAACCTCCACATATAAGCACTGATTAAAATTGCTGTTGTTTTATTGTTCTCTTGCATTTTGTATTTTATATAGTCTGGCTGAAAATTATTAAGAATCTTCTGGTGTTTCAGACTCACTAGTATGCATCTGATTGCTTTATATATTATTTTTAAGTCACAAGATAGTAGATTTTAGTAATAATGATGTACACTGTAAAAATGAATCCGTGCTGTAATACTCTCAACAAGTTACCTGACTTGTTGCACCTAAAATGAATTGATATTAATTTTTATATAACTTTTTATTTTTAATGACAATTGAAATAATAATTCCTCAAAAAAAATTAAATAAAAAGTAAAATTAGTTAGCAAGACAGAATGGTCAAAGTGATAGCTGAATTCTGATTAGGTTATGAATTGAATTTATTTAAATGATTTAGGAAGATCAAATTCAAAAGTTTCTCTCGTTGGTTAAAAGAATATATTAAAAATGTAAACCTAAAGTGTCAAGACTTTATAAAATACTTCTTCTGTGATCAGACTGCAGGTACTATAACACCTTGAATTAATAACGTGAATGAAAATCTGAATTTTTACTGAGTCCTTGCTGTGTTTCAAAATGCTGTTTATTGAATTAGTGCACCAATTGTGTAAATCCTGTGGCTCACTTTTAAAAGTCTTGTTGCATGACATCAGAGGAATAATGAGTGTGGTGCAGCAACTCTTCTCCACCTCCCCCCCCCAAAAAAAAAAAAAAAACTTTTTGCTGAGTAAAGTCTGGGTGAACTTTAGCACTGTTTTTGTGGAGTAAAAATTCAGTCCTTCCAGAAAAGTTAGATCAAATTATTGAATTGGGTGACTGTAATTTCTGATAGGTATATGTTACCTTCAGATACTAAGTAGATGAAATCAGCAGCACTTAGCGAAAGTCATCTCCCTGGGCATCCTCACTTTTGCTCTATTAATTATTAGGTTCCTTGGTGAAAGAAGTAAGAAATCTGTAATGTAAAGAAGCTAACAACTGAATGCCAGACCTTCTTTGTCAGAATATTTTGCTCCTAAGAAATGGCAGAGATGGTGGAAGAGAAGATAATCAGTTGGAGATGAATTAGAACATGAGGAAGGTTTTCATATTTTAGTTCACTGAGAGCTGTGCAGTCTTTTACATGATTTGTTAGTTGGCATTTTTTTTTTTTTTTTTTCTTACAAGATAGCATAGTGTCTATTGATCACTCAAATGGCTGGTTCCAGAGTAGACAGTGCATTTCATGCAGTTCCACCCAGAAAGAGGAAAATGTATCACTCCAACCTGAGAGTAGCAATAACAATAAGCATACAAATAGCAATGTCTTTTATGGATAGAGAGGTTGTTTGGAATAATGTTCTGATTGAGCTTCATTATCCATCCACTGTGTTGGCTATTTACTTTTATTGTATTATATCCATTTTTTATTGCATGAAACAATTCATTGTAGAACTCCTTGGGGAAGCATGGAGTACCATTTCAACTTGGAGCTTTTGGGACTGAAAGTTGCATGGTCAGTTACTTATTGTTCGGTGGTGGATCTCCTAATCATTAAAGAGTACAGCTTAGTTAGGGGTCAAGGGTTGGCTACTGCTGTGATTCCAAAGCAGATGTGACAGATTCATTCATACACTTCACTGAATTCTTCAGTAGAGAGGTGCATTTGTTTTCTCTAGTGTCCTGGCTTTTACTGACGGCAAGAAGCCTGCCATTCCTTCGCAATGTTAGATCTGTGAGCAAGGATGAGATATAAGCTGGCATTTAAGATAAAGCTACCATCACTGCCTAGGACTCGTCCTTGACCAGTTTTACACATACTCTGTTGTGAAGTTCTTTTGCACATGAAATTTCGTGTACCACTGATGTAGCATGATATTCATTAGCCATACCTGTGCCAAATGAGATGAGAATATTAGGTATCACAAGTCATGCAGATCCCAACAAAATCAATAGAGAAAAAATATTCACAATTATCTCTGGTTCACTTTCCAGAACCCTGGTTGACAGCATTGTACTTACTGATGACCTTTGAACTACAGCTTTTCCCATGAATTTGTAAAAATGTGATATAACACGTGTAGTGTAGTGGACAAAGGCTGGTCATGAACTGTGTTTCTGTTGTACCAACAGCAGGACATTTCAGTTGTGCAAGTGCCCTACAGTGATAATCTTGTACACGTTTTCAGCATTTTTTTAATTCTACACGTGAGAAATTGGCCAAGTTTATATATTCTACTGACATTTAACCTTCTTTCAAATGCTAAACTTCTGATAAATTTTATTGGTCATTTTCATTCATTAGAGTTTCTTTTGAGCATAACTGTGGCTTTTATGAAAAGAAAAGTTAAATTTCATATGTACTTGATGCTCTTTTATTTTGTTGTTGACAAAATAAAAATACCTAAATTTAGAGCATATTTAAAATATAGTATACATATAGCACATTACAGTATATCAAAGTTATAGATTATTGTCTCTAATTGTCGAAACCTTGTCGAGAATATCAGCATGCGTCAGTAGATTTAAAATCTGGAAACTTTTGAATTAGTTGACCAAAAAAGTTATATTTTGTAAAATATGATTTTTTAGTAATTGAATGGTGTATTTTTAAAAGCAAACTTTCAAATATGAGTACTTCATATAGACTTTAAAATATGTAACTGCTGCATATAAATAAACTTTATAGAAATATTTAATGTGTTCAAAAGAAAATAGGATTATTAAAGTATTATTATTTTTCAAGCTATAAATATAAGTGCAAAATTGGAAACGTTTTTATTTTGAATGTTTTAATTTCTTATTAAATGATATGGTTGTTAGGTTATGGCCAAAAAATTTAACTTCTAATTGTATATTTTTCTCCTTGTTGTGTAAGCCAATCTCTGCATGTAGTTTTCTCCTAAATTTACAGCATACAAATATGGAGATTTTATTGTGTGACACAGATTAATAGGTGGGACAAAATATTAATGAAGTTTATTATGTAGAGTAATGAATATAATTCATTAACTCATTTCATTAGTTCAAATTATATTGGCACATTTCTTTTTTAGTTTTTTATGTTTAATAGTTGTAGTTTTCTGGGACAGTCTCGAGCCCCATGGCAAAGCTTGTATAGCTGTAAGTCAATTTTATTTTTTTTCTCTAGATGAAAAACAAATATTTCTTTCTTTCTCTATCATTTCTAATCTGACCGTGCTTTTTGTATTGTTTCTACACATTGTCTCCTCTAACCCTGTGTTTAATTTTGCATTTGTGCTCTGAATTTTATTGAAGCATAATCATAACAACCTGTTACAAATAATAGTTTTGTAATCAAATGTACATTGTAAGTTTCCTTTTCCTGTCAGTTGCACTATCAATTTCATATAATACTTTTTCCATTTCTAAAATTTGCATAGTAAATTTATTCATGTATTTTGCTAGTTTAAAAGTGCTCTAACATTATGTTTATAATTTTAGGGTGCTGCAGCTTTTTTTGATATGATTGAGTACTACGACTCAGCTGTTCAACTAAATATATCATTTACAAAGCATATTGATTGTCGGGGATGGCAGGCTTGCTCTCGCATGTTAAAGAAGGTATTGTTTTAAGGATGTTTAATTAAAAAAAAGATTTAACAATTACCAATCAATGCACATAGAAATTTATCATATTTCATTATGATTGAATCATAGAAATGTATCGGATTTCATTATGATCGGATAAATATCTACATAGATGATTTTATGTGCATGGAAATACAAACTGAAAATTCTTCAAGCTCAAGTGTGTTAACTGCATCATCATATTTTTTTATTTTCGATCATTACTATCTGCTCAGCCATGACTGTTATCGAAAGCTGTTAAGAGTTCCAGGCTTCGACTGAACATTCAAAGTCGTTATATTAAGAAAAACCTGTCGACCTTTTTCTTAACGTAATGATTTTGAATGTGCAGTTGAAGCCTAGAACTCTTAAATTAAATAAGTATACTTTCTGGTCAAACTGAATGTTTCAAATGGTACTTAAGTAAATGTTCAAAATGATGGTCTTCAGCATCATTACATTTCTGGGTATGAGTCATGACTGATTCTGTACTTCACACCAAAGTGTCCAGTTCTGCGTACGCTGCTTGAATCTCATTTCAAAGTATGTCGATGTTACGTGCTCTACGATTGTACACTTCATCTCGACTGTGCCGCATAAAAGAATCGAGCGGCGTAAGGTTTTGGGGAGCATGCAGGAAACTCGATTGGTCCCCTACGTCCTATCCACTGGCTTGGTACATTTTGATCCAGGTAATCTCACACATCCCTATGATAGTGTAAAAAGACACCATCTTGTTGGCAATAAAACATCGCATTACTGTACATTACAGACTATCAGGGAAAATTGAATTAGCAAGGATTGTTAGGTACTTGACTCCAGTTACATAACCTTCAAAACGGAAAGAACCAGTGCTTACCCTAGAAGACAAACCACACTACGTTTTTGCACCAGGCAAATTCACAGCCTTCTTAACAGTAATGTGAGGATTATCTTCAATCCAGTGCACACAATTATGCCTATTGACAATTCCATTAAGTTTAAATTATACTTCATCCAGCGAAACAATGTTACTCATATATCCCGGTTCATGTGTAACCATCTCCTGAACCCATTCACAAAATTGGACCTGAATGCCATTTGATTTTTTTTGGGGGGGGGAACAATAAAAGATGAGGTGAAGTGTCATAAACCACTTAACCTTGGCACACTTTGGGATGAGATTCAAGCGATGTGCACAGAAATCCCATTGGACACTTTGGTGTAAAGTACAGAATCGGTCCCGACTCATACTCAGAAATATATCAATGCTGAAGATTATCGTTTCAACATTTACTTTAAATACCATTTAGAACATTCAGTTTGATCAGAAAGTACACTTACTTATCAAATTGGAGAATAACCTTACCATTCTGAGAAATTTAACCTTTGTAGGTTGGAAAATAAATTTTCTATGAGAGTTCAAAGTGTGTATACATTTTTCTGATGCACCCTGTATATAGCATAGTCATGAAAATTTGTAAATAAAGCATTAGCAACATTATTAGAAGATCATGCACATTTGAATGTGCTGGCATATAAAGGAAATATTGAGTAGAATAAATATATGTTCATGAAAGGCTGAAGGAGTCATTGCAGCGATAGGTATTGTTACTGCACATAATTGAAGCAAAGTGTAGGGTATGTACTGCCTTAAAGTATGCTTCTGAAATTTCAATAACAGTTGTGACTGGAAATACTGATGTCTTATTGCAAAATGCAAAAATGTATGATAATGTCACAAGCTCTTCTACACGCTGCCCATTGATAGATTACCCAAGTGTTTATTGATAGAAGTTGGGCTTAGTTATCAAATTATATGGAATGTTCTAATTCCATCATTGCTGTTCATAGTAAGGTAGTTCATCATTATGATCAACATAAATTATCTGGCATTTTGTGATTAAGCATTTGATGATTCTTTTGACACAGATTTGGTAAAATGTGCAGAATCTCACTGATAAATTACAGAATTATTGTAACAGAGTTTTTCATTTAAGCTGAATAAAATTTTATTATTTTTACAGTTTGTGAGATTTTTGGGGAATATATATATGTACGTAAATAAACAAGAAAGCAAAACTGAATATGTAAAAATAAAAATGATTAAAGTTGGGCAATTTTCTGCTAGCTAACTAACTAAATATATAAAAATAAGAAAACAATATGTGAATTTTGAATTCTTTTGAAATTTGATAATTGTTTAATCCAGAAACAAAATTGCATGATCATGCAATTTTGTTTCTATGCAAATTTTGTTTCTATACACCATGCAAATTTGTGGATAGGACGTAGGGGACCAATCGAGTTTCCTGCGCGCACCCCAAACCTTACGCCACTCGATTCTTTTATGTGGCACAGTCAAGATGAAGTGTACAATCGTAGAGCACGTAACATTGACATACTTTGCAATGAGATTCAAGCAGTGTACGCAGAAGATTCTGCAGTCCAAAATATTATGGGGAAGGATTGATAAGCATAACTACAACTCATGAAGTTAAACTAGGATTTATTTATTTACATTTGTATGAAAAGAAAAGTAAAAAGAATAAGCGTCGAAATATTTTGGACACGTCCATCCCTGAGTATCGTTCACGTCTTATCTCATCTGACCGCACCCTAATCTAGATGGCACTCTTACATAATCTTAGTTACAGTTCCCACAATATTAATCCTGGAAGTGAAAAATAAATAATTAAATAATTAAAGGCAACATAGTGTAAATTTAAATGCTGAAATAAACTGATAATCCTTCTTTCTCAAGGAGCAGACAAAGGAATTATCACTGGAATTGCATTTCTTATTCTAGAAATTGATGGACTGCTAATTCCAATAATAATTTTAAAAAAAAATATGTTTGTGTGTGTGCATATGTATGTATGTATACATATTTGAATTTTAATGTTGAGTTAAAGGCTAAAGATACGCAAAATGTTTGTTCTGTATATGTTGATATTTTGTTCTTTTAATACTTCTAGACTACATCATTAGTTCATCTAAATGCACGAAGCACTGGTCTAAATGAACAAGTTCTTCTAATTGTCGGAAGAGCATTGCGTTTGGGATCTAATTTAGTAACCTTGCATCTTGAAAACTGTGGCATATTTGGAAGATGTCTTGTTATATTAGGTACTATAATGTTCCATCCTTTCTTTTAAAATTTATTTTCTTGTAATCCAGATACAGACCCTTCCATGTGAATGCATAAAAGTATTTTATGCTATAATCCTTAATTGTATGCCTTTTTTTTTTTATTTTGTTTTTCTTTTCTAAGAATTATTAAAAGTGTATTATATAATATTTGTTATTAAGATAATATTTTTATATACATTGATTAAAAAATTGTTTTCTTGCATTTTTAAAAATGTAAATGGAGCTATTTATTATTTTCAAATGTATAAATTGTATCTTGGAAGTGAAGTCTGAATATGAAAAATCTGAAATCAAGCTTGCGAGTAAATTATCATTTTAAATGTTTTGTTAAAGAATTTTTGTGCATACACATTGAGTTAAAAAGTTATGCCTTTTTATTAGTCTTCTAAAATTTTAAGTTGAATTTTATTTTAACTAACAATATTTCTGACTTAAGTTTAGTTTATAATTATGTAACATTAATACTGTTACTAATATGAATTATTACTAATGTATGCAAACCCTCAATTTTCTGTCTGTACAAAAATTGTCCTCAGATTCCAGACTATTCTAGACTCCTATTTTTGGTCCTTCTAGAAGACCAAAAATATATGACTTATTGTGCAGAAATTTTCAATTTTTTGTGTATTAAATCATATTACTAAATCTTATCATCCCTGACATCATAAAAGAAGAAGGTTCTCAATTGAAATCGTTAACAGCATTGGACCTTATTAATACGTTGTAGGATGCAAAAGTTCCCGAACTGAGTCTATAACATAAAAATTTTTTGCAGTAGTGCAACTACAAGAATGTTTTTGTGTTACTATATTCTTCCTTTTTTCTAAAAGTAGTTTGTCCCAAATCACGTGATCGAAAGCTTGCAACGACAGTGCTTTTTGTAGCTGTCGTACCTTTTTTTTGTATTTAGTAACCGGTGATAGAAAGAAATGATGTCAGTTGAGCAGGGAATCAATATCAAATTTTGTGTTCTCTTGGGAAAGAGTGCTATTGAGACTCTCAAAATGTTGAAGTATTTGTATGGAAGTGAAACGTTATCAAGAACGCAAGCCTGAGTCGCATCGGTGTGTCAGAGAAGGCAGGGAAAGTGCCGAAAATGACGAATGCTGTGGCTGTCCCATGACTTTGTGCACCAGTGAAAAATCAAAAAAGTGTTTGCGTCAGTATATGTGAACAGGCAGCAAATAATTTGCCAAATAGCAGAATTAGTTGGGATACCAGAGGCCACATGTCAGCGGATACTGACTAAGGATCTAAACATGCATAGGGTGTTATCACACATTGTTCCCTGCATGTTAAATGTAGACCTAAAGAGAATTCGAATGGAAATGGCGGGAGACTTAATCTCGACTGTCGTCAAAAATCCTTCCCTACTTGGCAGAATTGTTACTGGAGATGAGAAATTTTGTTTTTTGTATGATCTTCAAATCAAGAGAACATTGGTAACGTGGAAAACACCATAATCTCCACGGAAGCAGCAATTCCACCAAGATCGCTCCAAAAGAAAGGTCATGCTAGAGGTATTCTTCAATATCCAGGGCATTGTGCATCTGGAATTTATCCCTGAAGGACGCAGTGTAAACTAAAAAACTCTACATAGAAGTCCTGTGTTGTTTGTGTGAGTCGATCCAGAAGAAGAGACTAAAAAGGGGGCTGAGCAGTCATGGGTGCTGTTGCATGAAAATGCTCCTGCTCACCGATCCCTACTCATCAATTACATTCTTGAAAAAATGAAAACAACTGTTTTGCCTCATCCTCCTTACTCACCTGATCTTGCACCCTGCAATTCCTATTTCCTGAACTGGCAAGACGCTTGCAGTGTCAGTGATTTCAATCTTCAGATGAAAATAAATGTGCATCCCATGCTGAAATAAAGGACATGGCCAAAAGTGGATTCCAGACGTGCTTCAATGAACTTTACAGGTGCTGGCAAAAGTGTGTTGTTGCACAAGGACTTTATTGAAGAAGGATGTGTTTCTGCAATTTAATTCATAATAATTTGTACGTTCTAGACTCAGTCTGGGAACTTTTGAATCCTACCTCATATTAGCACTATATTTCAGTCATTTGGAAGTAAAGGAGAAAGTAAACACAAAAATGTTGATAAAAGAAAAAAAAAAAAAAAAATTATGGAGGTTGTAGAATTTTCCCAGATGAAAGTTCTCATTACATTTACTCAAAAGAAGGCTGTAGAAGGGCATTGCAAAGATAATAGAGGGAGAAGTAATATGCTAGGGTAGCCATGGTGTGGTAATGTAATGAGCAGGGAAACTTTTATTTAAATTAGTAGGTTGAGTTCAACTTTAATATCATTGTAACTTTATGCAGTAACTGCAGCATTGTCTGAAAGAATGTTGCAAATACTATTGATACTACTATAACTCCTTGGTAAGTCAAAAAGAATCATTCCATATATAATTTTTAGGAAACAGTTTTATGTAGATATATATATATATAATTTGCAAAGAAATACTGGGGAAAAAACTTTAAAATTATTGAATTTCAAAATTTATTTTAAAAGGACTTAATTCTACGCTATCTCTGGAAAGATTAAAAATTTTAATTTAATTAAGAATATGTTAATGAATATTACCTCTATCCATATATAAATTTTACTTTACATTTCCTAGGATATAATTTTTCATTTATGTATTCATATATATATTTACAAAGACCAAAAATTGAAATTCATAAGCAATAAATTTCAAAAAATCGTATAAATGCACAAAAGAAGAATTTAACAAATGTTAAAACTAAAATTCTTCAAACAAGTAAAACCCAAATAAAAAAATAAAAAAAATAACGAACAAAAAAGAATATGAAAGAAGAGAAGTTCAATCAATTTCAATGACATGTCATCAGGAGGAGGAAACATTGAAACCAGTTAAATTCTCTCTTCCATAAAAAATACTTGCTTTTCTGTATCCAGAATTAGCTGATGAACCATTCCAATGCATTTTAATTATAATAGTTCAACCGAAAATGCTGCCTCTTCCCCAAAGCAAAGAAAAATAACAAGTAAAATCATTAATTTCTTCCTTTTCGTACTTTCCTTTGTATTTTCCTAAGACTGAATTTGTAATATTTTAATAAAAATTTTAAGAAATCATACTATTATTGAAAGTTTTTCTCTAATATCATTATGTGTTAAGAAATTTCTAGGCTACTTAGAGATCAGTTTAAAATTACTAAAAATTGACTACCTTTTAAGTCTCTTGAAATTTTAAAAATATTTTAAATATTTGGAATTTGTATATTTATTATAATGTTATCACTTTTTGAAGTGTTTATTTACTCGGAAGTGTTTATTTTTTTTTTTTTTTTTTTTTTTTTTTTTTTTTACACTTGAGAATAATTCTTTGGTTTTATTGACTTTTCAAAATGTGAAATTTTTTCTTTGAATTTCAAAATTCTTTGCTTTGTAGCATTAATTCACCTTTTGGAAGATAGCTAGTTTAAATATGGTTTTTAATTTTGCCAAAGAAGCCAAACTAGCAACCCTTGGCATCTGAGAGTCTAACAAAATTTCTAATGGCCCTTTTTCATCGTCACGCTGGTGTTTGATTAGAGGTTCTTGCAAAGTTTTGTGTTATTTTGAAATTCAGGGGTGTTTGTGCTCGGGGGATTTTGAACTTCGATCCTCGGAAATTCCGGGGATCGTCGTTCAAAAGGAAGTAGGAATAATAATGAATTATTTATTTTGATCTGGGTAATTTTGTTTGCTTTGAAAGCAGAAAACGCAAGGTCAGTGTGTGTGGTGAAAACTTTTCCTTTCTTTCTCCAAAGGCAGTGATAATGCGTGAAAAGGGAGAAAAAACTTCTTTTTTGTTCTTTCCTTATTGCAAGTTATGACTCATTCCCCACGGTTCTCGGACATTCTCTTCTGGATTCTTTTCGGCAAGTTACGCGGCAGAAAAAAAAAGGGAGAGACTTCATTTGACCAGATGTGCGATCACGTGACTCTGGGTTCAAAGGTCTTATCTCTCCTGGCGTGGCGACAATAAGTAGAGAAGGGGGATTTTTCGCCGTATTAGCTATTTGTCATTGATCGCTTCTCAACTTTTTTTCCTCCGCTGTGTAAAATTTTCGTTTCAATTATTGATGCACGTGTAAATTTTTCGCTTCGTTTATTGAAATATTTTTTTATTTAGGTACGCAAGAGAATTTCACTATGAAATTTCTCGATATAAATACTGATATTATACAATTAGAAGAAGGTGTCCGGAATGCATTTAGGTGGAATTGGATTGAACGGAGAGATGGTAATGGGGATACTATCGGCACATGGTGCAAGAAAATAAATGTTGCTGGACAAGCATATTGTGTTTTTTGTAACTCACTGCTGAAGTATGGTGGGGAAGGATTCAAGGCTTTCACAAATCATTCTAAAACTGTGACGCACATAAAATATTCAAAGTGCATTAGACATTCAATGACTTTAAGTAATTATGCTAATTCAAAAAATACTGATGACTTACTTATGTGAAAAATATGGCTAAAAAAATCCAATGACTGATCCAATTCACAAAGATCTCTTACTGAATATAAACAGAAGTTGGAAAACATATCAAGAGGACGAGGACTTAAAAACATGGATTTCAGATGAGTCACCTATAAAAGTCTCTGAAAAGCCTTCTACATTAGCAGAAAAGCAAACTGCTTCTACCTCTGCATGTGCAGTTCTCGAGGAAATTTCTTCAACTGTAAATGAGGAAAATAAAAGTCAACCTTCCTGCAATTATGAAGTTCACCACAAAAGAAAGACAAGCCCACAAACATCAGAAAATAAAAAAAAAAAAAAAAAAAAAAAGAAATAAAAAAAAGCAGAAATTAGATAATTTTTTTAAAGAATTAATTCGGGGAATTTAAAATATTTACATAAAATGTAGTAGTTTATATGTTTGAAAATTTATGGTTACTAATTTTGCAAAAAAAGTAATTCATTGAACTTTTATAATTAGGTCATTCAATACTTCATAATTGTAATTTTTCATTTCTCTCTCTCCCCCCCCTTCTCGAAACTCCAAAATGTCGGTAGTAAGTCCGTAAAAGTTTCAGGGAATTTTTTGGGGTCCCACAAACACCCCTGGAAATTAAAAAAAAAAAACTTGATGATTTCGAAATTTAAAAATTTTTTTCACTGCAGGATTTTAATCTTTTGTACATTTTAAGGGTAAATTTTCAGTTTTATTGAAGATTCTTTTTAGATTAGTAAAATCTTTTTAATAATTTTACTTTGTATTTTTGCCTTTTTCCTTCACTTTCACTGGTTTTTGATAAGAGGATCTAGCAAAGTTTTGTGTTAAGATTTTTTGGAAATTTCAAACATTTTTTCACTTTAGAATTTTAATTTTTTCTACATTTTAAGGATAAGTTTTCATTTTTATTTAAGATTCTTTTTAGATTATAAAAATCTTTTGAAATTTGAAGATATTTTTAATGATTATACTTTGCATTTTTGCCATTTTTCTTCGCTTTGTGGAGATGCCAGAATTTTCGGGTGAACTATTATACACTGCTGGTGATTAAAATTGGAACACCAGGGAGGAATGATCTGACAAACATCAAAATCACATGAAGGGAAGAAGTTGGGATATGCAAATGATTAGTATCTCAGCACATTTAGACGTCATGGGAGGGAGAAACAACATCTGAAGCACTGCATAAAAGAAAAATTGTGGATTTCTCATTCGGAAAGTGCTTTATAAGATTGGAGTTTGCTCAGAATATCATGTTATGCCTCGAATAAGAAGAGGAAATGCTTGTCAGCAAGTTTCAAAATTCGATAGAGGCCGGATTGTTGCCTATTGAAAGTGTAGATTATTGTTCCGTGATATTGCCAGCCGAACTGGTCGACATCCAACCATTGTCATGCGAATATAGAACCAGTGGATTGCTGAAGGTCATACTGAATAGCATACAGGATCTCAACACCCTTGCCAGAGAGGAAAGACATATTGTGTGGTCAGCCTTGCAAAACTGTACGACCACTGACAGACCATTAACCAGGAAATGGGCATGTTTGCAGCACACCCAGTATCAGCTCGAGAGTTTACGTTTGCAGCAAGGTGACCATTACTTAGTCTTGCTTTGCCAATGCAGTATAGAGGGAGATGGCAAGTCTGGTGTGCCAGAAAACAAAGTTGGGTACAGGAGGGCAGAATGTTGCCTTTTTAAGCGAGTCCCGATTCGACGTGCAGTATTCTGATGGTCGTATATGTGTCTGGAGTTTCCGAGGAGACTGTACATCGTCTTCTTGCATTCAGTATTGGCATAGGCAACCTCCATCTGGTGTGATTTTTTGGGCAGCCATTGGCTACATGGCACGCACAGCTCTAGTTTGGATCGACGGTAATTTGAATACAGATGAGTACATTTCTGACATCTTACATCCAATAATCGTGCCCTATCTTTGAGCCACCCAAACACCATGTTCCAACAATCTAATGCAAGATCATATGTTGCATGTCATGCTTTGATCTTCCTCGATATACAGTGTATTCGATTGCTGACCTGGCCTGCAGGTTCACCAGATCTGTCATCCAATGAAAACATCTTGTCATGGGTTACTGAGAGACTAGGCCGCCACTCCTTTCCAGCTAATATGGTTAATGAAGTGCGACATAGACTTGAGGCAGCACAGAATGAGTTGCCCGTTTCTGTCATCCAGCTCTAGTTTGACTCCATGCTTAACAGGATATGGGCCATTTTAGCTGCCAGGAATGGCAGCTGTATCTACTAATTTTGTACCCCCGTAAATTACAACAGACTTTTCCAAAAGAAAAACATAAAATTATATGCAAATTTTATTATTTTTAATTAAACCATATTTTAAATGCTATGTGTTTTATGCCTAAAGTTTCCATACAACTTAGAATGTCTGAAATGTTCAATGTTAATTTTTTATGAAATACATATATTAATCAAAATTTTACTAAACACATATGCTTTTTTTTTTTTCGAAAATACAATTTGTATAAAATAAATATCTTAAGTGCTTCATATTGCTTAATATTAATTCTGTATAATATTAAATGAATAATTATTTTAATATATGTATTTTTCTTTCAGTTGCTGCTCTAAAATTGAACACCACTTTGCGAGAACTCTTCTTAGCTGAGAACAAAATATCACCGGCAGATGGCTTTCAATTGGGTAACTTGCTTCGTACGAACACGCATTTGGAATTACTTGATTTGAGCAACAATAAACTAGGGGTATTTTTTTTATTCAGTGTTATCAATTTATTTTATATTTTGATCTTTTTTAGAAACGTTACAGGTTACAATTACAGAAAGAATGCATGTAAATAATAATATAAAAGATAATATATATAAAAGATATGTTTGTCAAAAATTTCACTTTTATTTAAATTTGTAATTAAATTATTTCATTCTAAAAGTCAGCACTTCTTTCTTACAATTAAACTTATCATAAATTACTTCAAAAAATTTACTTTATCAGTTACACCTTTGATTGAACACAGTAAGTTCCTATAGAAATTCAGTATACTTGAATGAATTATGAGTGAGTCCAATGTGTATTAAATAAATCTTCATTATCTGTAAATGTTGTTGAGGTATTATGATATATATTATTCCCTGGTGTCTTTTTAAAGACAAAAGAATTTTCAGGAATCAATTTAATCCCAGTTTATCATTAACCTTTTCACGACAGTGCACCTTTGTTTAAGACGCTCATGCGGGATGGAAGGGAATCAAAGGCAGTCAACGAACAGGACGGAGATTTTGCATCACTAAGCCTAATTTTATATATATATATATTAAAAAAATAATAAGGAAAAAAAAGTTTTGCTTCTAGCATCGTATTTTTGATATCATTTTAAATTATTACTTGAGCTCTTATATATGCTAAAATTAGCACTTAGTAACGTTTTTTTTTCTTTATTTTACATGAAAATATACTTAAAAATTGCTTATCTTGTAAAATATATTTTCGGAAGCGCTATCAAATTATTCCAAATTTTAATGATAAAATCCACATAAAGTTTAAAATTAACAACACGACTTTTACAGTAAAAGTAACAATTTTAATGAAGACTGGTCGAAGCATGAAACACTTCACTCAGGGATGTCAAACTCATAGGTACACTTGGGCCAAACAAACAAGGTTTAACTTTAACTTTAGGCGGGCCTGCAAAAAAAAAAAAAAAAAAAATCAATATTCATAGAAACGTAGATTTATTTCGAATAATACAATAATAAACATATATATATATTTATATAGAAAAGAACAAGAAAAATTTAATGTTTACGTCCTGATACTTGACATCTCTTCTCTGCTATTATCTTTCCTATTTCGGGAGAAATTTTGTTTGCAGTGATAACTTTCAACGCTGACCCAAGGTGAGCATCATTAATACGGTTTCTAATAGGAGACTTATTACCTTTCATGACTGAAAATAACTGCTCGCACCGATAAGTGCTACCAAACATGGAAATAATTTCATATGCGAATTTTCGAGTATTTTCAAACCTGGCTGGTAAATATTTGTAAAATTCAGGCACGCCCACTTCAATGAATTTTGCTTTCAAATTTGAGTTGCATTGAATCTCGATCACCTCCATTTGCATATGGCTGGGTACTGAGTCAATACTTATTGAGAAAATCGAAGAAAACAAAAAAAAAATTTGTCTTCGAGGGAACTAAAATCATTAAACCTCGTTTCAAATTCAGTTGTTAAATTTGCAATTTTTTCTGCGTATTTTTGATACGAACAAGTATCATCTAAACTTGATTTGTTCATGCTGCACGTCGGGAAGTGCGTCAAATCTTCATTTTTAAGTTGTTTTTCCCAAAGAACTAGTTGACATTTGAATGCTTTAATTATGTCAAACATGTTCGTAATGATATGATCTTTTCCTTGTAACGATAAATTTAAATCGGTTAAGTGTTTGGTTATATCAACCAAGAAAGATAAATCTTGTATCCATATTGGATCGTAAAACAAACTTACGTCTTGATTTTTCGTTTTTAAAAACTGACATATTTCTTCTTTCAAATCCCAGAATTGTTTGAGAATCTTGGAGCAAGATAACCAACGTACCTCGGTATAGTAGGACAAACCCGAATATTCACTATCTAACTCACTTAAGAAAGCAGTGAATTGACGCTGATTTAAACCTCGAGATCTTATAAAATTTATAACTTTTTTTATATATGACAAAACATTCTCCATATTTATTACTTTCGTGCATAGAACTTCTTGATGTATAATACAATGCATATGATGAATGTTTGAACCGTGAATTTCACTAAGTTTTTTTCTTAGTAATGCTACGAAGCCCTTGTTTTTCCCGGTCATTGATGGAGCGCCATCTGTAGCTACAGAATTTAATTTTGCCAAAGGTAGATTGTATTTCTGCAGAAGTCCAAAAACACAAGTAAATATATCTTCTCCTGTGGTAGTACCAGGCATCGGTATTAGTTCCAGTAATTCCTCAAAAATGTTAAAATTCTTGTCACAAGAACGAAGAAACACTGCTAATTGAGCTTTGCCACTAATGTCCGTGCTCTCGTCACAGGCAATGGAGAAACTTTCGAAACTAGATGATTTTGCTTTGATCTGATCACTTAAATTCGCGGCTAAATCAGTAACTCTTTCCGCAACTGTATTTCGAGACAATGAAATTGATTGAAAAGCCTTCACATTTCCAGGACAAACAATTTCTCCAGCTTTCATTAGGCATTCCTTGATGAAATCACCGTCAGTAAAAGGCTTCGAATGTTTAGCTATCAACTCGGACAAGACGTAGCTTGCATGTACCGCCGCTTCACTTTCTTGCAATACTTTACTAAACATGGACTGTTGCTTTTTCACTCCTAACTTGAGCTCTTTCAACTTTTCTTCTCTCATTAATCCTTCGTAATTGTTATATTTCGATTTGTGTTGTTCGTAATGACGTTTAATATTATATAACTTTGGTACATTAATAGTATTATTACATATCAAGCAGATTATTTTATCTTTTATTTCACAGCAAAAATATTCTAATTCCCATTTTACTTGGAATATTCTATGTTCGTCAGCGATTTTTCGTTTAATTTTACTACCACTTGGTTTTGATATAGACATACTGAATACAAAGGGCTGGAATAAACACGGTTAACGTTAAAAAGTTAACAAAAATTTATTCTTTCCACAAGAGATAAATCAAAATGCTGAAATATTTCTTCAAAAATATTCTAACAATATCACAAAATGTCAAACGTTTAGCAAAAATCAATTCAAAACAGAGAAACTAATTCTATCTCACAGCGAAATCGCTACAAATCAATCACAGCATTAAGTAAACAAACAGTTCGCTAGAACTACAGCTACTACTGAGATGAGTTGTTTGCTCGGCTTTTATAAGCTTATAAAATTAATTTTCTCGAATATACTGGAAACATCTATAAATATCTGGATTTTTGTGGATGGCAACAGCAATTACGAGGTATTATTTATTGCACGCGCTGTTCTATTTTTAACCTTCCAACGCAGCTGTCTTTTCAAAAATCGTCTGCGTTGCTAAGGCAACATGAAGCAAATCTAATTACAATTCTAAAAAAAAAAACTAAAATAAATAAATATAAACTAAATCCGTAACAATATGAATTAAGTAATAATTAATAATAAAGTGCATGCACATGCATGCACCAATATATCGTACAAAACTATGATTGGAAAAACTGAGACCATGAGTTCGGCCACATTCGGCTATCGGGGGATGCGTACAAGTTCTGAGTGCACGTGTCCCCCAAAAGCCGAAGGTAGCTGAACGCAAGCTACTCACACGCATTTGTAATTTAAGTAGTGTGTGTGTCAGCTCGCTGTGAGTAATCTAACAACACTGAATAAATTATCGTTAATTACTTAGCAGTAAACATTTCATTTTTTTCGTCGATATGTTATTTTATTATTATATATTATTATTTGCCGATATATTGGCCTGGCCGCAAAAATATTTGTTGTGGGCCGCGAGTTGACATCCTTGTTTAAGAAATGATATTTACGGTAATAGGTCAACCATAAATTTCTCCTTGATAAATACGCTCGCATAATGTTAGGGAGCTTCTGATAAAAAGAAAAACGAAATAACTGAGTTCAAACGACAATACTCCACATACTAACCCTAAAAGACCATATATAGTAAAAGAAAAAATAGAATAAAAAAAGGAATTGGATATAAATCAGACACGTCAATGTTTTCATTAGCACGCATCGATTTAAAGAGCTCACCTCTGTTTAAGCTTTCCATGTTCCCCCACCCACCCTCACAAGAGCTGATGAATAAAATACCAAAGTCAAGCAGAATATATCAAACTCAAAGTCAGGAACCTAAAACTGTGTTCATTTCAAAAGTAATGGACATAGGATGCCATCTAGTGGCCTTCAGAAAAAACGTTCCAGCTTAAAATGCGTATACGCATCACCCGTCCTCTGAATGCAATCTCTAGCGATGCGTGAATGGGATGCCCAGCTGTAAGAGATGTTCTTAGGGAAAGCATATATGGGATGCCCATCCTGAAAGGGATAATGTTCAAATTTCATGGACTAAGAATATCTGTATTACATTTAATTTTTAAGTTTATTTAATTTGATTGTATTTTATACTGTTTTATACGTGTTTAATGAATGCCCAGTTATGTTTTATTCACCTTCATTTTCTGATAACATAATGTTTTTTAGCATCCAAACATTTCACTCATTTATTAATAAAAAATTTTACTTTTTGCATTTATTATTGCATATTTTAAATTATTTGTTTTATTAAAATTGAGTTCTTAATTCATTTGCATTTATTGAGAGAATGAATGTTATTAGATTGAAAAATTCATAAAGGCATATAGTCATCAAATATAATATAAAAAATTAATGCAATAGCATTGAAATAGTGAAAATAATAAGTAAAGTTTAGTAATACAGAAAATTTTGGTTGGAAAGGCTCCAGGTAAAAAGAAAAATGTTTTAGGAAACAGTACATTTTGAAAAGAATTGAAAATAATAATCAATGATTTGCAAGGGATCAAGCAAATTTTCAAAATCATTATATTCATATTTTGCATAAACTACATTTTCAAAAGATTTCAAGAATAGACTTTAAGATGAAAAAAAAAATTAAAGAAAAGTTATGAAAATTGTGTGTGATAAATCCAAAATCTCTATTAAAAAAAAAAAAAAAAAAAAAAAAAAAAACGGAAACCTTAATTTCAGTCCCTTTTATGGGAAAAGTTTTGAAACTTTGATTTAAGACATAATTTTTATAGATCTAAGTTATTATTTTAATATGCTTTTATTTGTAGACATGACATTATAAAACTTTTTTAATATGCTTCAGTGCGAGTTATTTTATTGTTTAAAATAGTTTTTATGTGTAAACAAAGATTTTTGTGACTATATTGTAATAAAATGCAAATAAAAATTTTAAAGAACATATTTTCATGTTATTTTGCATTTCTAATTAAAAAAAATATTTACATTATGGAATGATGCACTTAATATGCTTTGCCACTTTTCTTAGAAATTTTGTACTGAAATTTAAGAATAAATTTACTCCAAATAGATATCCAAGTAGCTCAGAGATGAGTAAATAAGTTTTCTAATAAAATATTAATGTGTTCATGCACTACTTTAAATAATCTGATTCATTTTCATTTTGTAGGATGATGGTTTAACTCATGTAATGGAAAGTCTTGGACAGCAATCAAATACGTCTGGAAGAGGTCTCAGTACCTTAATTTTATGGAACAATGAACTCACTGTAAAAGGAATGCCCTGTGTAGCAAGAGCTTTAGTATGTCTTTTAACTTAAGTCTCTAAGAATCGCGGATACTGGAGAATAAATAATCTGTTTTAAATTCAGTCCATACTTTAATTTATTATATTTTGTTTCAATGTAGACATCTGCTCGAGCTCTCAGAAAACTTAATTTGGGTAGCAATGCTATAACAAGTGGTGGAATTATAGAAATGAAACAGAGTTTTATTTGCAACCGTACTGTTGAAGTTCTGGAGCTTGAAAATGCTAGCATAACATCTGAAGGTAAAGTACAGTGGTCTTGGGAAAATATTATTAACTAATTATTATTGATATTATTAATATAAACTGTTTTTGGAAAAACCTTTGAAAATATCTTATACAAAATATTTAATTTAAAAAAAAATTGTGGAATCCTATAAAAAATATTAATTTTTTAAAAAAATGTTTGTGGCATTATTCCTTACAGTATATTCTTTTAAAAATGTGCAGATCTATCTTTATGCAAAAATTATTATTTTAATTGCAGAATTCAATTTTTATAAAAGTATTTGTGTTCATGATATGTTAGTGAAAATGCGACTTCTGATTTGTTGGTTTCACCTGTTAAGATAAACTTTGTTTCTAATTTCTTGAATGTGTTATGCATTTTTACTTCCATGTATGAAGTAAAGGAAGTATTGTAATTGTGAAAAGTTTTGGGTGTAATATCTCAACAGAAATATTAATTTTATCTGTTCCCAAATTCATTTGGAAGATTTTTTTTCATGTCATGACATCTGTATACAGTCAAAAGTCGTTAATCCGGACTCGTCGGGACTTCGGCGATTCCGGATTATCGATTTTTCCGGATTATAGATCATCAGTTTAAATCTGGTAAGATGGCATGCAGAAATTACAAAATTAAAAATATGAAGCCATAATTTATGAAATAAAGAACAATTATGATCTAAAGGGTATCAAAATTTGCAAAAAGAAAAAGCTTAATATTTATTTGTTTACTTTATTAAACATTTATTTCAATGTAAGTTGTTTAAGTTTTGCTTCGTTTCATGTGATAATACTTTCTCTTTAATTCTATTAAACAGACATAATTTCTTGTTCAGTTACAAAGTTCCGCTGTTCAAGTCCTATAATTGCTGTGTTGAGAATACCGACTAATTTGTCAATCGAAATGTTTTCGTTTTCAATAACCTCTGGGTCACTTTCTTCACTATCGGAAGCGAATTATAATGACGAGGAACTTGATTTAAATCATATCAAAGAAGGGAGATGAAATACTACACTTAGTACGGAATTATAAACCAAATAAAATAAAAACATCTGCTCTGAAGATAAGGATAGTGCTGACAGATCAACTTCCAATCCGCAGCGTGAAATTGATAAACAGATTTCGGATTTGAAAACATACTTTCGCTTTGTAGATACAAATTACATATTAGTAAATATATATCGGAAATTCTATTTGACATAATCTTTCTAATCTATCATAATCTAATAATGACGTTTATGCCCCCCCCCTTCTCTGCCGCAGAACAGCGTGAAATTGATAAACAGATTTCGGATTTCAAAACATACTTTCGCTTTGTAGTAAATATATATCGGAAGTTCTATTTGACATAATCGAAAGTTCAAGCTTACTTTTATAAAATTGCTCTAACAGTCTGCAAAAAATAATAAGCCGGATCCAATTCGAAGATTAAGGAACAACGCAATCTGCAACATTAACTGAATTAGATAACTTTAGCTTAGCATATAACTCCGTTACACATTAAACGCGCATGCGCACAAACATATTCGCAGCTGTAAGGGTCTTATGCGCTCTCGTAAACGCCTGTGCGCATGCGTGAACGCGACGCATGCGCAGAAAGTTTGTAGCTTTGAGGTCCGGATTATAGATCATTCCGGATTATGGGTGTCCGAATTAACGACTTTTGACTGTATACGCATAGAATAAAGGACTCTTTTTTCCAAAATGGATTTTAGAATAGATTTAAAATGGATTCAAAATGTTATTTTCTGTGACATCTATCTGTATGTGGATATGTATGTATTTCACATAACTCAAAAACGATTAGCTTCAGAATATTAAAATTTTGTATATAGGATTGTTATAACATAGTTTTGCACCTCCCTTTTCAGAGTTGCCATCTGTTCTTATTTAGATGGGAGACTCTCGATTTCCATCTGTTTTCCCGCCAACCTGTTTTATAACATATTTTTCCTAACGTTCTCTTATTCATAAAATTTCTTGCAGTTTTTTTGTAGCTTCATTTCATACTTCATTACTTGTCAAAAAAAAAATTTTTTTTTTTTTTAGACATCCGTGAAAGCAGTTGGTTTTTCTCTAGATTACAAATAAAAGAAAATCACGGTCCTTTTGTCAGTGAGAAATTGACATATTTCTGCTTTGTGAGTGAGAGCATGTGTTTGAAAACGCCGTGTTCAAGTTCTCCATTGAGCATCAAGCACCACTGTTTGTCATCTGGCATATAATAGCCATTGAGCACAAAGCAAGATAGAGGTTCTTATTTTGTTAATCTTGTCCCTTAGCAGTGTGAGTGCACGTGCTTTAAAGAAATAGTTTAAGAAATGATGATCTTTTGTTTTTTATGCCTGCGAAGAAGGTAAATACTCGTGTACTTTTCAAAAATTGTGCACTTGTATTTTTCCACAAGGAAATGTAATACATTTGTGATGTGCCATTTGTCGTTGAGATTTTTTGATTCTCCACAGTGGAAGAGCAAAATGTGACAAAAACAAACATGTGGCACAAAAACACATGAGTTCTATTGAACAAAATGAAAAATTATATTTTTCTGTTAAAACATAGGACCAAAAATTTATTAATGCAGAATGCCCGTTCTCTGCCTTTTTATTGGAACTTAACCTGCTACTGAATGCATCAGATATGCAAACATGTTTCCCAATAGCGAAATCGCTAAGGAATACTCAAGTGCAAGTACGAAAATCGCTACAGTTGTCGAAAAAATGGGTACAAAAAATAAATCTTCAGTTATTGATTGCTTTATTCCATTGTACCTTTCTACAGATGGAAGCAATGATACTGATTCAAAACTGTATCCAACTGATGTTTTATTTTTTAATCTTCAGAAACTGAGTGCAGTTTACTTTCTGTCCCCACTTTAGAAGGACATTTGACAGTCTTTAATCTTGCACAGCTAGTTATTAAAACTTTAATCCGGTGGAAAGCACATCAAGAACAAGTACTAGAGTGGATGCATGGGGTAGCACGTACCCCAATATTTAAAATATGGAAAAAACTGTTTTATTTAGTTTTAAAGCTGTTTTTCTTTTATAATAAGCTTATAGAGAGTTAAAATTAATAAAAATTAAAATAAAAACAAAATAAGCATCTTACCTCTAAGTTTTATTGCATCTGTAATACACAATGCTTATTTTATTTGTTTACACTTTGAACAAAATACATTCATTCAGTTTTCTCACTGAATCGATCTTGAAGTAGAGGTATATTTGTTCACCATTTCCTCATGTTAATCCAGCTTTTCCTGAAACGAACTTCACCTGCCGATGTACTTCAAGGGCAGTTTCTTTATTTGCAAACTATGGATAAGATCAACATATAATTTGTTACTTAGTATTCGGAATGCAACTGGATAGTCTCTTTCATACTTACTTACATGGTGTTTCAATGTTGCATTTAGCAAGAATGGACTTGACCTTAATCCAAAATTAACCCACGTCATTCTCGGTACTTCTGGTTCTATGTTCATATTATCTTTAATCGACAGAAATATGACATCTCTGTCTTCCAGTGCTAATGCTATCTGCAAAAAAATGCATTTTCAATATCAGCTGTCAAGGCGACCCTGTTAAATCTTAATTGCAGAAATAAGGCCAAAAAATCGCATTAAATTCGGATCGGAATTCAGACAGTTGTTAAGGGAAACGAAGCTTATTACACTAGAAGATGCATCAAAAACAATTCTATTTTTATAGTTAATTACACTAGAAGATGCATGAAAAGCAATTCTCATTTTTGTAGTTAATTTATCTTCATGAATTACTGCTTGGTGAGGCATATAATCTTTAGTTTTACTTTCTAACTTACTGGAATCAACCTTTTCGACTATTCCTTCTGCAACATGCTTCGAAATGATTTCCTTATACTGATTAACCCTCTGACTGCCCAATTTGTGGACTGAAATCGATTCAAAAATTGTGTAATTTTTTGTTTCATATTTTAAATCTTTATATATTGGAGAATTGAAAAATCCAATTTTCCTTTCTAGAAAATATTTTTTATATAGCTTTTTATCATGAGAAACTAAGTTGCCAGAGAAACCAATTTCAGATGTTATCACCCCCCCCCCAAAAAAATAACTTTTTAAATAAATTTCAATCGAATTACAGTTAATTTCTATTTATTGCATAATATAAAAAGTAAAATATATAAAATTTAAGAAAATATAAAGCACTGAGGAAAAAATATCTTAGAAATGCAATTTAGTATGAGTTCAAAACAGGGTTCAAGACAAAGTCCAACTTCACAGTCTTTGCACTACATTCAATAAATCTAATTAATAATTAAAAAATTAATTGAATAATTAAGATAATTGCTAAATGTTTTCTAGTAACCATTTCTGTAAGAAAAAAGCAGCAAAAAGTGGAATTTGAGTAGTAATACCGTGTTCCTTCAAACGCCACAATTTAGTGGACAATTAACGATAGCTGTTGGCCAAAGCATAAACTAAACGTCTAATACTGTATATAATTTATTTCAGTGGTAAAACCGGATGCGTTCCTCAATAAAGGAAGAAAAACAGATGCCTGCGGAAATCGTGAGTTAAGCAGATTTTGCTACATTTGAGTTGCCCGGGGAAATTGCGGGATGAGCAGCCAGAGGGTTAAGAAAGGAAGGATTTCTCTTGAATTTATTAACTAATTTTTGAAAGCGTACTTCAGCAGTGCCATAGTTATCGGATAAAAATTCAACTTTTTCATTCCACGGAAGATTGACTTCATAACGACTATTTCCCATTTTTCTAGAGCTCTCGAATTTTCTTGAAACCTCATTATCTTTAAAATTATTGCATGCAATTCCCAAATTTTCTAAATCAAATATTTTCTTTAAAATCTCCATTTCTTCTATGTTTTCATTTCGAACAATAGTTTTCATTACTCTTAACTTACTTAGAGTTCGATCTGATTGCGGCGTTAGATCCATTGAACACATACCCAAGTTTCATTTCCATTCCTACTAATTATCCTGGCATTCGCTTTATTTTCCCAGTAACAATAGT